GTTTTGACTTGTATATAAATGACAGATCATTGGATAACCCTAAGACTGAATGTTCTTTGTTTATTGCAGGACAAGGAGAGATGACTTGATCTCTTCATCTGAGATCCACCTTCATCCTAATGAGAGACAACACCAAGTATTTGATTGACAGCCTTTGTTGTTGCCATAGTGTCTGGTGTGTACTCCCTACAGTACATGTTCCTGTGGTTCTGACTCAGTGCTGCTCTTACTCAAAGCAGCCAGGTGAGTAACTCTGCTACTTGACTCATCGGGGCTGTTTTGTGGGTTTTTTCCTCAAATAGGGCTCAAATGTGTCAAATATAGTTGGTCTAGAACATAGAAGAACAGAAACTTTGCCATTTGATTCACCAGGTGGATAGGCAAATTTTCTTGTCCTCCAAAAACTTTAAAATGTTTTACCAACCAACCCGAAGCTGACTTGAAACACAGGTATGATTGCCAGTCATCAAATAAATGTCTAATAATCATTTCTACATTAGTGTACTGTGCAGGTTTGCTAATGCACATTGTAATTCATGTCATGAATGTCCTACTTGCATACAATCACCCCTCCCTGTCATGGTTTTTTTTATTGATTTTGTTTTGCACTTTTGTTTTCCGCACATTGTCATAAAAATTAGCCAGCATTAAAGGTGCGGGGCCCTCCAATTTATTTGGACTTGAAATGTACTTGGCTGCAATGTCTGAGATTTGGTTCAGAATTGTAGGCATTTCTTGGAAGACATTTGAATCTAATAATAATTTGTTCATAGAGTTGTTTCTTGTAAATCACATCCAAACCATAACATAATGCACAACTCATTTAGTCCAAATCTTCTCTTTATTATTCATCAGGTATGGATCTTGGACAGGCATTCCTCAAGGTGTTAAGGATGACGTTTCAAGAAGTGCCATCTTCACTAAGAATGGAGAAGTCCATTATCCACCTGCACAATGGGGAAATTCTGCTGGTTGTATAGAGAGAGGTTATCGTAGCAATGAGATTGTACTGTAGGAGTGACCATCAGAGACTCATCGTGAACATCACAGTGAACATCGCAGTGCATGGACAGTGTGTTCCTAAAGATGTGTTGTAGCACACACTTGTTGAGCCGTCTTTCATGGATGCAAGTTGGAGCTCACATGCTGCAGTTTGAATCTAGTTATGTGGAGAATACATGGAGACTTGCACTGAGTTATCCTCTGCAGTGGACTTTAATCTTAAGACCGTCCTTTCACTGCACACTTTGATAAACTTCTAACCTGTAGCCTTTCAGTGCTGCTAATGTAAAGAAAACCTGCCAGGGACAGTATTACCTGAAAGGACATTGGTTTTAAAGAAAAATGGAGTGTGGATGACCAGTGGTGTAGAGTTAGAACTGATTTCTAAGTGTTCCAATCACAGCTCAATCATATAGCTTAAAATGGCTGTATTGTGTGAACAAATTTTGATGCAGTACTTGAGAATTAATGCCCATATCATCTTT